CATTTGAACTCAGGAAGATGAGTCTTCCTGACTCCAGGCCCAGTGCTCTGTGCCTTAGGAAGCTTTTATCTGCATCCTAATTTTCCTTTTTTGCAATTTCTACCCATTGCTCCAAGTTCTAGCCTATGGGGCCAGCCAGAACAAATCCCTTTGTTCTTTCATGGCAGAGCCCTCTACCCAGACGCAAAGATGTCCTCCTAAGCCTTCTCTTCTCCAGGCTAAACAACCTAGTTCCCCTAACCAATGCTCACACGCCATAGACTTGAAGCCCTTCCCCGTCCTCACGGGGCCCCTTTGGCAGCTATTTTCAGTTACCAATGTCCTTCCCTACACAAGGTTCAGATGCCCACCCCTCCCCCGGTAGGCCTCCTCCATTAGCACAGACTGTCCACATTGGTAGAGGCCTCCATCAAACCCCAAAGCTCCTGCCCCAGCACCCTCTACTCCCTTCTGCTCTTCCACCATTGGTCTGGGAGCACAGAGTTCTTACACCAGGTACAGAATTTGGAAGCATCCTCCTGTCCTGTACAGAAGTACTACGCTGCCTGGCTCCATGGACTCATTTGGGAATTTGCCTCAGACCTCCATAACCACAAAGCACCAGGGACCAAGTCCGTGTCTCGAATCAGAGGCTCAGGCAGCAGGCCTCAGACGGCATTGCAAGGAACTTGTCGAGGGCTGGGGCCTTGGGCCCTACGTCTGATCGGGCCAAGGCTACCCTGGGTGAGTGAGCCCCATCCTCCCAACCTCTTGGTATGAAACAAGGACCTCTCAAAGAGAGCTCAGTCAGGCCCTGGAGACCCACTTACCAAGCGCCTATCACCTGGCTTATCTCCTGTTGGCCTAAGCCCTTCCCTGGTGTCTCAGAGATAACAAACAGGGGTCTCAGAGGATCCTTGAAGCGGGGAGCTTGAATTAACCTGGCTTCCCCTGGACAATTATCAAGTGAGATAAAGCACTCTTCAAACCTTAAAGTCTCTGTAAACGCTAGCCAGCTGGCTAACTGTAAATGGCAAACTCTCCTAAGGCCTGTGATTCAGTCCCTCTTTGCTAGCAGAAAGTCACCTTGCCCTGCTACCCCTCTCTCAGCTCTCATTCCCATCCACCTGCCAAGGGCCTGGCCAGCTCTGCTCTCCCCTCTCCCAGAACGCCCTCCCTCTCCAGCGTGGATTCACGGACCTCAAACTGAGCCTCCTTCTAGTTCTTCTGTACATACTGACTCTTCTGAATGTAAGCTCCTCGTGGGCAAGATCGCCTCTGGGGTTGTCTTTTGTAGCCCCAGCTCCTAGCTCAGTGCCTGGTATACAGGAAGTGCTAAATAAATGCTTGTTGATTGACTGAACAAACTTCCCTTGGTTCTAGACCTGCTTTTCTTCCCAAAATCGTTTCATCTTCTGCTCACACAGACCCAGCTCCCTCTGAAGATCTAACATCCCAGGCCACCCTCCTCCACACCAGGTGCACCCTGGGCCAGGAGGAAGACAAGGCGCATCACCCTTGCTCAGCGGCATCCCTTCCAAACCACCCTCCCTCTACGGACACGCAGCCCTGCCTAGACCCTTGTCAGGCACCTGCGGGCCTCCAAGTCACAGGCTTGCCTTCCTCCTTCAGAAGCCCTTCAAACAGTCCCGTCAACCCCCACAACCCCCACCTCCATGCCCCCTCAGACACCCATGCAGGCGCTCACGGCGTTGCCACTCCCACCATCACCTGTCACTCTGAAATTCCTCTCTATTATTTTCTGTCCCTCCATCTCTCCCTATTCCCTGCTCTCTGTAAACTCATTCTTCATCCTCCACTCAGTCTCTAGTTTCTCCAACCTTCTCCGATCTCTTAGTCCATTCTACTGAAATTCCACAAAGATGTATCAGTCACCTACATTGTTCAGGGAATTATATCAGGCTCCTGGGCCTACAAAATTCTTTTTGTAGTCAAACAGATAATCCACTGAGGGGAAACAACACAGGCACAGATAGATAGACAGACAGACAGATAGACAGATAACCACACAGATAAATACAAAGTAATTTGGGGTGGGAAGAAAACTAACAGGTGGGGTGATCAGACAAGAAGACCCCATATAGAAAGAAGCACTTGAAATGAGCCTTGGAGGGAGCTTGAAATTCTGAGAGGGAGTATTCAGGTATTATCCAAGGAGACTAATTAGGATGGAATTATAATCAATAGTCTGGGCTAGAAGCAATGAAGGGCTGAACTAGTGAGGTGGCTGTGTAACTAGAGACAAGTAGAAAGATGAGAGAAATGGTGTGATAGCTGAATAGCTAACACACACAAACACACTCTCCTCCCACATAGACTCCAGAGGTACACAACTTCCACAAAGACTGTCTATACAAGAGAGACCCAGACTGCAAAGGAAGAGCAGAAGTCATCTGCCCAGAGAGGATACATCCCCTTCTGAATCCCTCTTTGTCAGGGAGGGAAACCCAGAAGGTGAAGAAGCCCTCTCTCTTCCAAAATAACCCTTTGGTGCTCCTAAGGTGACTCGAGGTCCTTGATGTCTTCTTTCACAGACCCAAACGCACCGCCCCTGTGGATTCGTTTCCTCAATATTAACTCCTGTTTGTTATAGGGGGGTCCAGGGGATACCCAGACGTAATGGCATGATGCCTTCAGATAGGAAGGGGGACTTAGGAAAGGGCAGGGGCCTTCCCACAACTCGACCACAACAATAACAGGTTCTTCTGATGGTGGCTCAGTGCTGTCATTAGAGGCTGCGAGGGGAAGGAGGCCTGTACCTGGGGCTGGAATCCTGTCCCTCCCAACCTGTGTGACTTCGTCAGCACATCTGGGCCTCAGTTTCCTCATCTTTAAAATGAAGGAGTTGGATTGGATGGCTCCAAGGGCCCTTCCAGCTCTACACCTATGATCCTCTGACCCTCCCATACACCTAAACCCCTCAAATACCTCCCACCCAGACCCCCTCCAAGAGGCCTCCCACACAGATCTTCTTCCCCAGGCACAAAACCTGACCAAATATGCACCCCCCAGGACACACACACACACACATACACACACACGTAGGATACAAGAAGGCACAGGGACCACACTGTCACAACACGTACACACTCCTCTCACAGACCTTGCACACAACACACACACACACACACACGCACACACACACACACACACCACGTAGACACAGCCCTACAGACTTGGAGTCTGAGTTTGCCCCAGACACTCGCCTGCTGAGTGACCTCAGTCAAGCTGCTTCCCCTCCCTGGCCTCAGTTTCCCCATCCGTAAAATGAGAGCTTGGACTCCACAGCCTCTGAGAACGCTTCCCAAGGTCCAGGTCCGGGATCCTGTGACACGTCCCGCCCCCCCCCCACTCCCAGACCTCACTAAGGCCCCTCCGGCGCCCTCACCTCCTCGCCGCCGCCTCCTCCTCCTCCTCCTCCTCCTCCTCCGGCTCCTAGGTTACCGTTTACAACCCAGCCGCGTCTCCATGGTAACTGCCACCGCCACCGCCGCCGCCTCGAACGACAGGCCGTAAAGTGAACGAGCATGGGGGAGGAGCCGAGTGGATCACGTGCTTCCGGGGGCTCGCGGGAGCGCGCGCGGGACTGCGGCCAGCGGAGACCGCTCCGGAGGCCCCGGGCGCGTTCGCGACGTGTTTCATCGTACCTCCTCGAGTCCTCGAACTGCCCCGGTATCGTCCGGCTCCTAGTTTGCCACCTCCGGGCTTTTGCTTTTGTCCAAGCAGGCCCCCGTTCCCTCTGTTTAATACCCCTCTTTCCAGACCGCGCAAGGCTTCCTCCTCCTAGAAGCCTTCCTAGGTGCCCCCTGGGGGAAAGCGCTGTCTCCCTCCTCGTTTTCCGACGGCATTTTCGTCCCTGGGTCATTACTAACTCGCGGGCCCGACCGTGTCACCCCCTCCTCGATAAGCCGCGGTGGCTCCCTGTCGCCTCCGGGAGCAAACACGAAGCGCTCTGCTCGGCATTCAAAGCCCTTCATTGAACACACACTCTCAGGTCCGGCCACACTGGCCCCCCTCGGGCTGTCCCCCACTCTCCCTCCCGGCCTCCTCTCAGTCCCCCCTGCTCCAGGCAGCCTTCCCCTGCCCTCTCAATTCGGCGCTTTCCCTCTTTATCCTGCATAAAGCTCCTTGTGCATCCCGACGTGACCCCGCGGGGGGGTTTCTTGGCAAAGACAGCGGACTGGTTGGCCGTTTCCTCCTACGGTGAATCACCGGCGAGGAAACTAGAGCTAGGAAGTGTCCGAGGCAGCATTTGAACTCAGATCTTCCGACGCAGGCCCAACGTTCTAGCCACCATGGCGCCCCCTAGCAGTCCTTGCTCGCTGTGGATATAGTTGTTTGGGGGCAGCTAGATGGCGCAGCGGATAGAGCACCGGCCCTGGAGTGAAGAGGACCCCAGTTCAAATCCGGTCTCTGACCAAACACTTGACACTTACTAGACTGGCTGTGTAACGCTGGGCAAGTCACTTAACTCCAATTGGCTCACTGAAAAAAAAAATTTGTTTCACGTTAACTCCCCCATGAGAGTGTAAGCTCCATGAGGGCAGGGACTGGCTTTTGCCTTTTTTCCATCCCCACCTCTTAGCACAGTGCCTGGCACATGATTGACAGCTGGGCATGTGTGCCCTCCCCCTCTGTTACACTAAGTTCCTCAGCACAGTTTTAGGCATACAGTAGGTGCTTAATAAACATTAATTAATTGAACAGACCACTTCACCTTTATCTTGGAATCCCCAGTACCAGTGCCTCCCTAGCGCTAATAAATGCTTGCTTGATGGATGGTTTCTTGCATACAACTGCCCACCGCAGTGGGGCCAGCCCCTATATAAGGGCGACTTACCGGGCCTCTGAGTAAAACTACCCCCATCCAAATTTGTCTCCTCATTGCTTCTCAGGGGCTGACCATGGCTCTGCACATCTCAGTTTAGCCGTCTTTTCTTTCAGTAGGAAACAGATCTCTAAATGCTAATCCAGAAACAGGCAGAATAGCTACAAGGATGTCAGGTGGTAACTTGCAATCACTGATATTTATTAGAGTGCATGTTTAAAAAATTCAAACTCTTAGAAAGTGTCCAACCCTAAAAAACTCTGACTTTCCATCGGTTAATGTCAGTGTCCACTTTCACAATTTCCATCTTACAACTTAAGAGAAGGGTGCTGGACCAGACACAGATAATTGTGGGGAGAAAAAAAGTGGATTCCTCTGACCCGGACTTCAGAAGTAGGGCCCTTGCTGCCCCCTTGTGGAGGCAGAAGACTTGCATCTCCCAATCAGACCGAGCACCTGCCCCAAAAGTTGCAGTACTGATTGGTCCGTGGTTACAAACTGTTTTGAGGTTGCAGAGACATTCAAGATTTACCATATCACAACCCAGCCATCCAAGCTCCAGATAAGTTACCTCCCCTAAGCTTAAATATCATTATACTCTGGTCAGTAGACCCAACCTAGGAAGAGATGATATAAGGAAATAAGAGTCAAGTTACAATTTCAGAAATGCCTGGACAGCTCAGCTCATCTCCACTGGCAGCTTTTTATATACGAGTGTCTATGGGAAGACTCTGACCTCATACACTTTGGTTTAAATGGACTCTGTGTGTGTGTCTGTGTGTATCAGGACAACATAGCAGCACACTGCAAATCACATCTTATCCAAAATTTTTTAAAAATTAAAGCAACCTCTAAAAGAGTAAAAATACTGTCAAATTAAATTCCTACCCCATTCATCCAAAAGCAAAAATAATTTCCATTAAAGACCAAGACATAATTTGAAGGAGATGCTAAACAAATGTGAAGTTTTAACCAAGCCTTAATCTAGGCAGACTGTTGGTCAAAACCCCTGCCAGGACTGCATCCCCAACTCCCGACAGAGAGTTCACCCATCCAGAGCTACTGCAAAGCCTTAAGTTCCCAGCAGGAGCTGAAGAAGGGAAATCCCAGCCACCTCCAGGTCCAGGGGATGGGAAGGCGGAGGCCTTCTCTGTCGTAGTCCTGAAGGGCAATCATCTTTGCAAGGGAATAATATTGCAGCTGAAACACAAAATAAAAAAGAATTCAGGTTTATGTTTTACACACCATTAAGAAAATCCAGAAGATGCTCTCCTACTTCTTCTGCATTAAATCTTTCATGTTGTGTCTTGATCCTAAAGCAGATGCTCAAAGAGCAATCCTTCTGCTTACTAAAAAGGGAGTGAAGTGAAGTGAGGGGCAGTGTGGCACAATGGATGGGGAGCTGGACTTGTACTCAGAAAACTGAGTTGAAATCCTAGCTCTAACTACATGGTCACGGACCCATCTTTTACATTGTATGAACTTGCTGCTTCTTCTATAAAATACCTGTGGTACCTACCTCAGAGGGCTGCTCACTGTGGGGCGCCAAAGAGATGGCGTGTGTGAGGCACTTTGAAATCCTTAATATGCTACATAAACATTAGCTCTTTTCATGATGGCCAACGGTGAGGTCAAGCTGACCTTCAGTCCTCTACTTGGGACAGTTTACAAATTACAACCCCTGGAGGAGGGGTTGAATGAGATTCAACAAGCAACTGCTGTGTGCAAAGTAACTTGTCACGATCTAATAGTAATCAGTGCTAACACAAGAACATGCTTTCCTTCCAGCTGCCCGTGGCTGGGAGGGCTGACCAAACCGGGCCCCTGAATGTGACGGAGGGTCAGCGCTGCACTGTCGGGGAAGAGGAATATGGGGATTCGGAGCTTCTCAGCGAAGGAAGCAAAGCCAGGAAAACGACATGGGACAAACCAGCCAAATGCTGAAACAACCGAAAACGGCTGTTGTGAATGTAGAAAGAGCTGACACAGGAAACGAACGACGGCCCCGATGGGAGAAAACAATGACCCCCATTCTGGCATGGTTGTGCAGCGCTGTACGATCTGTCAGATTCTTTCAACATGAGCATCAGTTTTTCTAATTTCTCCCTCTTTTTAAAAAATTCTCCGGCTCTCTGCGAGTGGGGAGGGGTGCAGGGGAAAATTGAGGCAATGTAAAAGGTCACCAAAAAAAAATTGATTTTTTACAAAAGAACAAGCTTGGCCCCAAAGAAGACTGACAAGAAGACCTCTCCCCCGTCTTGCTCCTCGGCAGAGGTCAGTGTCCACAGGTGGGAAACACTGCAAACAGGCTCAGATTTTTTTGATGTGCTGAATGCTATTGATGAATTTTTTCCCTCTTCTTTTTAAAAATACTTATTATCATGATGGCTTTTTGAGAAGCAGGAGGAGCAGGAGGGGTACTGCGGAAAACTGAGGCATTAAAAACAAGAAATAAATAAACAAAAACATCCACAATAGAATGCATGATGCTGGACACCTCCCTAATGACCAAGCCTGGCCCCAGAGCAGAGCGGACAAAACATGCCTCCTTCCTCCCCTTCACTGCCCTGCGGGGTGACAGGGGGAGAGCCCTGGGGCGAGGGCCGCGCTTTGCTGTGGAACACTGCATCTACTTTCAGATTCAGTTAAGATATTAATTTTGCTGAACTATATTTTCCCCCCAATGTCTTTTTTGTTATGAGAAGTGACTTGCTGAGAGGAGAAGGTTAGGAGAGAGGATTTGGAAATGAAGGTGATACAAAAGCAAGAGAAAACAACAGGAATTTTTAAAAAAACCAAAGAGTAAGGAGCTTTTCCAAATCCATCTTACCCTAGCAGTCCTTTCCCAGCCCAGCGCATGGGGACAAGCCTCAGCTGGAGCCTCTCGCCTCCCCGGAGCACTACCACATGCAACGGATGCTGAAAGACAAGGAACAGCCAGTCCGAGCGTCAAATCAGAAGAAGCTTCCCGAAATCAAGCTCTGGTAGTGACACTGCCAAGCCTGTGCCAGCCTGCTTGAGCCGGGACAGGCTGGCAGGGGAGGGGGCAAAGCCCTAAGGATTTGGGCCCAAATCGTCCATCCCCAGAGTCCTGAAGAATGGATTCGAGCAGCTCTTACTTCCCTTTCCCTCAGAGAGAAGACACTCAGCCTGAAGGAAACCAAACTGAGTCAGTGTCAGGTAGGAGGAGAGGGAATGAGGCAAGCGCTAAACCCGTGCCCCCAGAGCACAGCATGTTCTGGAGATCTTCAACACCCCCACCAAGGACCGAGTTGGGGGATTCAATGTTGCTCCAAAGGGCCTTAGTTTAGGCTGGAACAAGGGACTTTCAGCAAGAAAGGACAATTCACATTGCTTTCTGCAAGCCAACTTGGGCTTTTTTCTCCCTAATTACCGGACCTCACTGCTGTATTTTACTAGTAGGCTTTACCTATCAGAATAAGAATTCATGGAATCATGGAATTGTAGATTTAAAGCTAGAGAAGGTGTCTCTGAAAGTCATCTAGCCCAGAGCTTCTTAAGCCATGGGTTGCAACCCCAAAATATTTGGTAACAGGAAAAGGTTTCTGAACACACAACACGCACAAATTAATTAAAAATCAAACACATGATGAATCCGACATGTTTCTGGCAGCCCATCTCACAGCTTTACTGCGGCCTGGCTCTGAACATTTGCGCATGCCCTCAGGCTACGCAAAACCAAAAAATGCTGCTCAAGCAAAAAGGGGTCACAAGCCGAAGAAGCTAGTCCAAAGCCTTCATTTTAACAGATGGGGAAACTGAGGCCCAATGAGGTTAAATGACCTGCCTAAGGTCACACATGTTAATAAGTGGAAGAACTGGGATTTGAAGCCAGGCCCTCTAATTCCAAATCTAGCATCCACTGTGATGCTGGGCCTCCCCAGAAGTCTCTGTAAAATCTTCAGAAGTCCCGGGTGACCAAGGGAGCACCCACGTCACTTCACCACCATCCAGCTCAGCAGCCACTTTTCAGCACCTGCTGTGTCTCAGGCATCGTGCCAGGGGCTGGGAACACACTGAAGCAGAGCCTCCCTTGGGCACCGTGCCAGGCAGGGCCCAGCACTGGAAAGGGCCTGGGGTCAATCTCAGACCGAGAGAAGAGAGGACGTGGCCACCCGACTCACCCCTTCACTGTGCTGGACCACTGTTCCAATGTTCTGCAGATTCTGGAAGTTGTGGGCATTCACTGAGCCAAACTCCACGATCTCATCATCTACTTGGAGACCCTAGAAAGGCGAGACCAAACACAGGGGAGATCTGAATGAAACTTCCACAGCCGATGGCAGCCAAGGTGCTGATGTGCTCTGATTAACCGGATTTTGTTATAAAGGATCCTAGGGTCGTGGACTCAGACTGGGAAAGGACCGCAGAGGACCTCTAGCCCAGCGTCACTGAAGGGGCTGTGAGTGGAAAAGGCTTAAGAAGCCCTGGTGTAGCCCAGCGTCCTCATCTGACAGAGGACTTTGAAACCCAGAGGAGAGTGATTTGTGCAAGCTCCCAAAGGCAGTCGTGAGTGGCACGGTGAGGATTGGAGTCTCCTCCCGCAAGAGCCAGGGTGCTACTGGAGGTGAGGAAGAAGAGTCATTGGGAAGTATTGGTGATGCTTTTTAAAAGCATCAACAAAACCATTTAAAAATCCAGTGACATTTGCCAACAAGAACCACAAAGGAAAGAGACTATTTTTTCCTAAAGGGAATAATACTGAAGATTAGAAATGAGTAATTTTGACACTTGGAGGGTAGAAATCACTTCCTCCTGCTGGATCCATGCAGACGAGGTAAGAATATCACTAACAAGCTTCTGCTACTTGTGACACTTCTGGGTCCCCTCTGAGGGCCACCTGCCTAAAGGAACATTCTGAAACGAAAAGTGTGGCTATCACTGGGGCCTGCATGTGGGTTCTGGGGCAAAAACAACCACTGCTTGTCACCGCCCTCAGGAGCCCTGGCTCTATTTCCTGCCCTCAGCACTTAACTGGGCTACAGAGGGTGTTCCAGAGAAATCCAATTCAGAGGGAAGAACAATTGTCAATGATCTTTGTTCTCATTCCATCCCAACCACCATCCAGGAAAACTGGGGGAGACTCGCTCTCTTTTCCAGGTGAAAAAAGCATTGAGAAGACAAGGGTTTGGCCCAAAGTGCCCCAGGCCTTTGGGCAGCAGGAAGGCCAAGCTTGGAACGCAGAGCTGCTGCCCACGGGCCAAGCCTTGTACCACCTCCCTTCCCAATAAGCTGTTCTGACTTCTGCTCTCTGGGTCCTGGAGCAGCTGCCCAACTTACCGAGTTGCTGGCAGGAGAGCCCGGGCTGATGCTGTTCACTTTAGCAAAGGGCCGAGGGGGACTCTGGCTCGGGCCCTGGCCTTGGTTCAAGGCCTCATTCTGCGCCTCGGCTGCATCCCTTGCTTGCTTCTCCTTCCCCCTGGCATGGAGCTGGTGCAAGGCTTCTTCTACCTGCTTCATCAGGGCTTTGTGGTCATTCTGCAGACCTAGAAGGGAAACTCCTTGTAGAGAAGGAAGAAAGCCATGCCCCCAAACCAAGGCCAACGTACATCTTTAATCCCACATTCCTATTCAGGCAGTTCTCTCAACACATTTCCCTTCAAGGGAAAATGGGCAGATTGTTAGTTGAGAACTATCTCTGAATGTCCCCCCCAAAACGGTGCTGCACAATGATGGGCCAGGACATGGTGTTTTAGGGGTATATGTCACTGTGAAGTTAGCCACCCTTTTGTCTGTGGGGATCTCACCGCAGAACCCTAAGATCATGGATTTAGAGCTGGAAGGGACTTCAAGGATTGAGTCCAAGCTCCTGGCTTTTTACAGATGAGAAGACTGAGGCTTGGAGAGCTTAAGTCACATATGCAAAAAGGCAGGCGGTGGCATAGGTGGGTCTTCTGACTCCAACCTAAAACTCACGTATCATGACCACTTTACCAGAAAGTTTGCCTGAGGCCCAGAGATATGAACTGAACCTGAGTTCTAGGAATTCCAGACCTGACCTTCTGCTCATTGTCTCCCACGCTCCTCTGTACTCACAGATAATGTTGTGCCTTGCCGTACGGACTTGATACACATCCACGTCTGCTCGAGGATAGCCCTCGACGTCCACCAGAGGCTCGTTCATCCCAACTCCTTTTTGCTGGGGAGAAGAAACAAGGTTAATAGATGTCATTAATATCAACTCATCATGTTCTCTTTTCCCAAAGCATTTTTCTTTGTACCTGTGAGGAGGAAATGTGGGTACTTAGAAGGGAAAGCGTAGATCTATTAGGACAAAGAATCTATACCTAGTACCTAAGGACAAATGTCCCAGGCAACCTGGTCTGAGGGAAAGAATCCTGCATTTGGAGTGTTGGACCCGAGTTCAAATCTAGGCTCTGGCATGGGCAACCTGCGTGTTGTTGGGCAAGTAATTTACCTTCCTGGTACCTCAATTTCCTCATCTGTAAAATGAGAGGGTTGGAGTAGATGGCCTGTGAGAGGCCTTCAATTCCAGCTTTGCAACCTCATGACCACGTTGGCCAGCATCTCTGCGCTGGTTCTGGGTCAGGTGCTGTGAGAATCTGCTCGGTGCCCTCCACTAGCTCACAGGCCTCTGGCCATCTCCCTGTGCTCACCTAGGCTAGAGAAATGACTCACTGGTTCTCCCCTGGGCGTCTGATCCCTACTCAATCTGCTGTTCTTCCCTGACTGTTGCTGGACTAAGTGTGGAAGAGAGCTGGGTTACACTGCTTCCTCCCACATTGCCACCTTTAATGACCTTCCCTTCCTCTCTAGATTCCCCTCATGTACAATTCTGAACATGTCACTCCTTTGCTCAAAAACTTCGCTGGCCCTCCACTGCCTCAGAAAACTATGAAAGCCTCAGCCTGGGGCTTAAGGCCCTCCCCATTTTAGCTCAAAATGACTTTTCTAGCCGTATTGCACATCGCTACTTCTCACAAACTCTGCATTCAAGCCAAGCTAGACTATCAGTTGTTCCCTATGTAAACATGCCAAGTCCCACCTTTGGGTGTTTCCACAGAGTATCCCCCCACAGCTGGAATGCACCTCACCTCTACCTCTAAAATCCTTGACTTCCTTTAAGGATAAACTCAGGGCCTCTCCCTGGCCCTCGCCCACTGAGGTTGCAAGTACTGTTCCTCCTCCTCAAATTATTTAGTATCTACTTATCTGTGTACTGTCACAAGTGAAATTTAACAAAAACGTAAACTGAGGCACGTTTCTCTGCACAAGATAGCATTTTATTCACAGGGCACAAAACCTGAGAATAAGATGGATCAATGGTTACCTCAGGTTACAACCAAAGACCCAAGCGAAAGGATAGCTCCCCTTTTACAGGTTTTTGGAGTACAGAACAAAGAACAGAACAGAGTAGGTGACATCATGGGGTTGCGGGGAACATGATGGTTAGATAGCTGAGATGTGGAAAACAATATGACCAGTTGAAATTGGAAATAAGAGGCTAGCAATAGCCCCCTCCTTCCCTCCTCTGACTAATAAAGATCACTGTTGGAGTCTACCTACAAGGCCAAAGGTAACAGCCCAGACTTCTTTGGACAGCAAGCCAGACATCCTTGAAGGAGAGCCCGGCAATGTAAAGATGTTAGGCCCAACTCCCTTATGCCGAGTGCAATTCTCCAAGCTTAGCAGAATTCCTTGAGGCAAGAATAGAACACTCATCAGCAGAAGAGCTGGATTTCTAAACTTAACCTATTGTAGGCCAGCTGCATTCTGAACTACGTTTAAAGACAGAGCACTCAGGAAGTTACAAGGATAAAATCAATTACAGGAGGAAATCACTTAATTGTAAATAGGATCAATACAAAAATGATATGAAATCAATTTAATCTTCTCAGTATATAGTGTTTCCCCATCCCTTACCCCCAGTAGAAAACAAGCTTCTCGAGAGCAGGCCCCTTCAGAAGCAGGAGCAAGATTGTTTGCTGAATTAAACTGCTGAACTGAGTGTGGATATGAGCTAATAATAATAAGCACCTTGTATGGGATATTCTGGAGTTTACTTTCCCCCCAGCTCCAAAGGGTTAACAACCTGATAAGATAGACAGGAGTGAAAAACCCTCAAGAGAAGAAAACTATTGAAACTTTACTCTTCTGAAAATCAGGTGTCTTTCCTACGTAACATGTGAAAAATAAAAACATGCTGTCCTGCATATCCAAATTGAACCCCCTGAGCACAGTAAGGAGCCCAGATTCTCAGGCTCATTTTATTTTAGTTTTCCCCTTTTCAAAACTGTGTTCAAAACGTAGCTTTCCCAGACCTCAGGAAGCCTCCTGCCCCTTGGCCCTCCCAGGCTGCACATAGTTCTATCCTTCACCACATGCACTTCCTAATTTTCAGGTTAATTAATCATTGTTAATTTCCTGCCTGATGTTATGAACCCCTTAAGGTCACAAATTTCCTTGTCTCCCTACAGCAGTTGGGTGATTGATTTACAAATAGAATGGCCCATCCTACAGAGAGCAAGTCAGTGTATCCCCAAGGGGGCTCTGCACTCCGAGTCTGCTGCCACAGTCGTGAGGAGTAGCCTCTCAGGGACCAAAGGGAGCCTGGACAGAGTCAGGGGCTACAGGCTGGGTCACTGTACTGATTAGGCTTCTGGGTCTGGGTCCCAGCAGCACTCTCAGCCACACTGGCCATCAGGGAAGAATCTTTCAGAAGCAACTCCAGACTCCAAGAATAGGCGCTCCCATACACAGAGCACAGTAACATTTACAAAGCTCTTTACGTGCACCGTCTCACTTCATCCTCACAGCAAACACGGGCTGGAGAAGTAAGTCTTAGGGATAGGGACAAGACTGGATCTGTGATTCTGCTGATATACGAAACTCAACAACGATGCAGCTCTGCACCTTCTTTCCATCTTGTCTGGTTGAGCTGAGTGCACAGGATTTCCCTGAGCTCATGAAGCCAGGACGCATGAGTAGCCCGGATTGGTCTTCCCTCCCCCAAAGCCAGCTCTCTATCCACTAAACCACATCGCCTCTCCTGGTGCTGGTATCATCACCCCATTTTATTCACAGGAAAACAGGATCACAGACAAGCAATGACCTGCTCAGCAGATTTCAGAAAACCTGCAAAGACTTCCATGAACTGATGCCGAGCAAAGTGAGCAGAACCAGGAGAGCGCTGTAACACCAACCCTGTGCATAATCAACTGCGATAGACTAAGCTCTTCTCAGCAACACAGTGATCTAAGGCAATTCCAAAAGACTCGTGGCAGAAAACGCTATCCACATGCACAGACAGAACTACGGAGTCTGAATGTAGATCAAAGCATGCTATTATCTCTTTTTTTGTTTTTTCCCCCTCATATTTCTTCCCTTTTGTTCTGATTCTTCTTTCACAACATGACTAATGTGGAAATATGTTTAATATGACTGTCCATATATATAGCCTATATCAGATTGCACGCCATCTCAGGGTGGGGAAGGGGGAGAAATTTGGAATTCAAAATCTTATAAAAGTGAATGTTGAAAAATGAATAAATAAATAAAAGAAGTGACCTGCTCACAGTTACACAGCTAGTGTGACAAAGGCAGGGTGGAGTAGAGGGTAGGGCTGGGCTCGGCAGCCAGGAAGACCTCTTCAGATCCTGTCTCAGACCCGTATAAGTTGTATGACACTAAGCATGTCACATCAGCTCCCCAGGCCTTAGCTCCCTCATCAATAAGATGAGAAGACTGGATCTGATGGCTTTGCAGATCCTGCCACTCTAAAAACACAATCCTATGGCTCCAGATCCTACGTGCGCAGTGCCTCGAGGGATCCTCGTCAACCAGTCAATGGACATTTACGAAGCAGCTACTATGTGCCAGCACTGTACTCACTCCGGGTATACCAAAAGAGGAGAAGAGACAGTCCCTGCCCTCAAGAAACTCACACGGCACAATGACACAATCTAATGGAGGGGACAATACGCAAACAAATACATACAGAGCAAGCAAGCCACATCCAGGATAAATGGGAAACAATTAACAGAGAGAAGGCACTAGAATGAAGACATCAACGATGGAATTTCAGCTGGGACTTAGAAGCTGCCAGGGAGGGCAGTAGTTGGAGCAGACGAGGGAGAACGTTCTAGACATGAGGGACAGTCAGAGAAAATGCCCAGAGCTGAGAGAGGAAGAACAGCCAGGAGGCCGACGTCACCGGACTGAAGAGAAGTACAGGAGAATGAGGTGTAAGAAGACTGGAAAGACAGGACGAGGCTGGGTTATGAAGGGCTTCGAATGCCAAACAGCCATTTTGCATACAATCCTGGAGGCGACAGGAAGCCACTGGAGTTTGCCGAGTAGAGAAACGACACGTTTGGACCCAGGCTTTAGGAAAATCACTCAGTGGCTGAATGGAGGATGGGCTGGAGTGGGGAGAGAGTGGAGGCGGGCAGACCCTCCAGCGGCTCTTGTGATAATCCAGGCATGAGGTGACGAGGGCCTGCATCAGGACGGGGGCAGTGTCAGAGGAGACAAGAGGCTGTTTTCAGTGTATGCTGCATAGGTAAGATCAACAAGCCTTGGCAACAGTTTGGATGGGGGGGTGAGAGAAAGGGAGGAGTCCAGCATGACTCCCAGGACAGGGAGGCTGAGGGACTGAGAAGATGGTGCTGCCCTCTACAGTAATAGGGAAGATAGGAGGCGGGGAGGGTTTAGGGAGAAAGATGATGAGCTCTGTTCTGGATACTGAAGATGTCTACTGGACATCGAGTCAGAAAGGTCTGAAAGGCAACTGTCGATGTGAGATTGGAGGCCAGCAGAAAGATTGGGGCAAGAAAGGTATGTTTGAGAATTGTCAGCAGAGAGAGGGTAATTAATTCTACAGGAGCTAATGAGATCACTAAGGCAGGTATAGGAAGAAGAGTAGGACGCCTGGGACAGAGTCCACCACGTCTAGAACTGTAGGATCTCAGAAAAGTAAAGAAGTAGAGAACCCGTGAGTCTAATCTCTTCCTGAACAGGAAAAGACTCCTCCCTTGCCACATCCTACCCCAGTGGCCTCTACTTGAGCAATTACAGAGAGAAAGCATTCATCACCCCACACCCTGTCCAGGCCGCCCATCCTACTTATGCACAGCTTTGATAGGAACACCCTCGTACCAAGCCAAACTCTGCCTCAGTAATTTACCCACACCTGGTCCCAGCACCTCTTGAGGCATTTCCAATAGTGCTAAGGACTATCCTTGGAAGAATCACCCTAACGTCTGAGCAACACAACATAGTAGTAAGAAAAATACTCACATTTCCATAATGATTATGGTTTACAAAGCACTTTCCTTACAACAGCCCTAGGAGGTAACCTGTCAACGATTAAGGAATCCCGGACTTAGAGCTGCAAGGATCCTTAGGGCTCATTTGGCCTAATCTTTCATTTTACAGATGAGGAAAAACAGGCCCAGAGGTCTACGACCTGTCCAAGGCTGAGCAGCTCAAAAGGGGGCAGGGCCAGGAGCTGGGGCCAGGTTTCCCATTTCCAAATCTACTGTTATCGGCTGGGCCAGGTTTCCCATTTCCAAATCTACTGTTATCGGCTGTCTTCTTGTTGGAAAGATCATTTGCCATATGCTGGGCTCGTAGTAGAGAGGAGAAGTACCGGCATATTGGAGTACAGCCAGAACAACCAAACTGCTCTAGGAGCTGCAGCAACGACCTCAGGGGACAGGAATTTCGAAGCCTCTTTTCCCATGTACACTGCACAGTGCTAAACACAGCATAACTCATGTGCTGCTGGCACTGCAAAACTTGTTAAGCATATTTCTTCCCCAGATCTTCACATACAAATAAGGGTACTGATGATCTGAGAAATTAAGTGGACTTGCAGGGGATAATGCAGCTACTAAATGCTGGAGACAAAATGGGAAAGCAGCTGTCCTGCCTCCAAGTCAAATAATAACACAACCTTCTTCAACTGCCTTTCCCAGGGGGCAGGGGAAACTGAGGACAGAGGGACACGTAGTCCCTGGCAAGAGAGAGCCTAAAACAACAAGAGCTGGGCAGGTGCGCAGTGAGAGGGTTTCACAGAATGTCAGTGCTAAAAGGAACCTCAGCCATCACCTACCACGGTGGTCCTGCACCTCTCTGAAATGTAAAAATAAGGTTAACAATACAAAGACTGTCAGACAGAGCTGTGGAAAAAGCATTTCCACAAACTTTGGAGTGATATAAAAATGGAAACTTCACCTAGTAGGGTGGCTGTATAGGAATGAAAAGATCCCTGAAGCCACAAGAGCAGGAAGGCCCAGCTCCCACAGTCACTACCAGTGGGTGACCTTGAGAAAGTCCTTGACCTCTCTGGAAAATGAGGAGCTACAAGAAGACTAGATGGTGCTGCCAATCAAAGACTCTACCATCTATACAGTCCAGCAAAGGGAGTGGCAGGGAGTGGGGTAGCCTGATGGGGTGGTTAACCACCTCCGAGGAGACATGGAGGGTGCAAGATAATAGGAAAAGCAGAGCTGGGAAAGAGCCTTAGAACACAGAATTCAGTTCATTTCAACTAATACATATCAAGCACCTACTAGGGACAAGGCACAGTGCTAGGTGAGGGGAATACATACACAAAACAATCCCCGCCTATAAAGAACTTGTAGTTTAGTCTATGAAGGGATATAACACATACACAAATAAGAAAGTACAAGCACAATACAAAGGAATTTTAAGAGAAAAAGACCACAGATGCCTTCTGTCAAAGAAGGCACCGGAGCTGGACTCTGAAGGAAGGTTGGAATTTTACGAGGCAGAAATAAGGAAGCTATATTTCAAGTCTAGGGGAACCTCACTTGTGTGAAGGGACAAAATATAAGGCAGTGGGCAAGTTTGACTGGCATAATGAGAAGTAATAAAACATGACCAAAAAGGCAGGTGGGAGCCAGTCCGTAGAAGGTTTTAAACTCTTCTAGGCTCAGGAATTTGTACATTATTCTAAAGGCAACAGGAGCCACTGAAGATGTTTGAGTAAGGAGCGTTATGGTCTGAGCTAACTTCTAACAATACCTACCTGGCAAGTTATATAGAAGATAGACTAAAGGAGAGATTGACGGTGGGGAAAAAACCAATTCTTGCTACTAGGCAAGATATGATGAGAGCCTGGAATGGGAGAGAGGGGACAGAAGAAGAGAGATGCCAGAGACCTTGTGGCAGTAGTATAAATAAGGCCCGACAGATGATTAATCTATGGCAATAAAAGGAAAAGGTACAGACTCCAAGGGTAGAAATCTGGGTGACTGGTGGGATAGCGGCTCTATCATCAAAGATGGAGAAGTTGAGGACACAGAGATTTGGGGAGATGGCATAATCTGAAAAAGAGATCCTAGAGAGAATAGTGTCATGGAGGCCAAGGGAGAACAGAATATCTGAAAGAAGGGTACAGTGAACAGTGTCAGAGGTGGGAAGAAAGGGGATTAGGTCACAGACTCAGGTCAGGAAGGGCCTCAGAACAGGGGACGTCGGGGCTGCGAGGGGCCTCCTTTGACAGACGAGGACACCGAGGTCCTGGCCGGAGGACAGCCGCCCCGCCCCCCTCCCCTCTCCTCCCCTCCCCTCCCCCCCTCTCCCCAGGCCCCCCGTCCCCCCGCACTCACGTCCTCCAGCACGTCGTAGTAGGCCTTGATCTGCGCCTCGATCTCATCCTTCCGCCGCACCAGCTCCTGCACATCGCTGATGGTCACCGGGGCCGGCCGCGGTCTCTCCGACGAGGCCCTCTCGTCTCCCGATTCCCTCCTCTCAGACATCTCTGAGCCGCTGCTCCAGAAGTGACGTAGCGGGAAGAGCGACGACTACGGCTCCCCCCGCGGGCCAAAACTCCTCTGCCCGCGACCTGGGACGGGCGCGGGCTGGAGGGGTAGGAGGGGTATGGGAGGGAGCAGCATGGAGGGATGAGGCAGGGGCGGAGCGAACCCATGGGGCGGGGGCGGGGCTCTGTTCGGGGGAGGAGCCATAAAACCCCGCCCAGCCGCAAAGCGACGGGAAGGGAGTGTCTCCACTGGTGCCTTGTGATCCGCGTTTTAAAAAGCTTTTATTGATCCAAGGTTTTTTACATCACCTTCATTTACAAATATTTCCCCCTCCATCCTTACCTCCCTCGCGAAGCATCCCATGTAAGAAAGATTAAAAAGAGGGGGGAAAAAAATCAACCTGACAATGTATGCTCTATTCCACCTCCATAGTGCCCCACCTCCGCAAAAAAGGGAGGAAGATGCATTCTCTTATTTCTTGGTGGGGGGACTTCAGTTATATTAGCTGCACAGGGTCCATTTTGATCTTTCCACTTAAACTCGGGAGCCCCTGTGTATACTGTATAGTTTTCCTAGCTCAGCTTACTTCATCCCTTTCTTCTGAATTCCTCTGAGGTGTCTCTGAATTGTTACTATGCATTGTTTCTTGAGGGGAAATCATATTCCATTACATTATTGAACCATGATTTGTTTAGCCAGTCCTCACTTGACTGAAATGTCTCTAATTCCTGCTACCACAAAAAGTCTTGCTATAATTATTTTCAAATGGAACTTTTCTTTCTGTCTTTAAGCTCTATGCCAGCTGTGGGATTCGATGAGGCAAAGAATATCAATAACCCACATTTTTCATATTGCTGAGAGTCATAGATTTGGACCTTGAAGAGACCTTAAATATCACTTAATCCAATTTCCACTCACTTTACTTTTTTAAAAATGTAAATAGCATTTTATTTTTTCCAATTATATGTAAAGACAATTTTCAATATTCATTTTTTATAAAATTTTGAGTTCCAATTTTTTTTCTCCCTTTCTCCCTACCCTCCCCCCTCCAAGACAGCAAGCAATCTGATACAGGTTATACATGTGCAATCACATGAAACATATTTCCGCACTAATCATGTTGCAAAAGAAGAAACAGAATAAAAGGAAAAAACACAAGAAAAACAAAGTGAAAATAGTATGCTTCCATCTGCATTCAGACTCCAACAATTGTTTCTCTGGATTCCCATTTTACCAAAGAAAAACTCTGTCAAATGTGAACTCCATTAAAATGCCACCTGTAAGAAATGATCAAAGGAATGGTTTCTGAGAAACCGGGGGCAGGTTGCTGTTAACAGAACCAGGAGAAGATACAATGACAACAATATTGTAAAGACAAACAACTTTGAAATACTTAGTAACCGATCAATACCATGCCTCACCAGAACCCCAAAGGAATCATGAAAAAATAATTATCTGACTCCAGATGGAAAAATGATGAAGTACAGATTGAAGCATTTTTCCCTTTTAGTTTTTTTTGTCATACACCCACACCCACACACACACACACACACACAGGTAATATAGAAATATATTTTGCATGACGGTCTATGTATAAATGGGTATCCTTCTTAATTTCTTAATGGTTAGGAGAGGCGCTTAGGGAGAAAAAGAATATAAAACTGAAAATTAAAAGAAAAATGTTAAAAAGAAAAAAAAACTTAGGTATGCTGATCAGTATAATAACCAACCGCAATTTCAGAGGACTCGTGATGAAACATGCAATGTTGTGCTGGAATCAACTTGAACTAGTTCTGGAGAATCGATTGTTAAATTTCCGGAGTAAGCATTTACATTTTGGAAATTGGAAAACTTACAAATAAGAGCTTGTCTTATTGTTTTGTTGATTGTCTAGACTTAGGAAAGTGATAGAGAAAATGTTAAGAATGAAGATTAAAATTAAAAGTGTGTAGTGAGAACCCCCTCCCCCAACCCAGATGTTAAACATTTACCAGGGCACCCTCTGCATGCTTTCCACTGAAAGACTTAGTACAGAATGAGACTGTGTGTGAGTCTTTTAGTCGAGGTCAATGCAGAAATTTCTTTTGCTTGATTAAGCATATTTGTAACAAACATGTTTCAAAAGGTTTCCTTTTTCTTTCTTTCTCCATTGAGGAGGTGAGAGGGAGAGAGGGCAAATTTTTTTGCTGGTTTAAAAATTTTTAATTTAAAAAAGAAATAAAGATAATCAAAAGCAAGCAAAAAGAAAATGCAATTTACCTCCCTTTGAGGTAGGAGGTGAACAGTCAGCCCAGAAAATGTGTCGGTTGGTTTTGTTGAACTGATTTTTTTATTCTTTTAAAATTTTTGTTATAAGGGAATTGGGGAGCAGAGGAGACTTCTATTCCAAAATGAATGTGATGAAAAACAAAAGGCATCACTAAAAAGGGAAGAAAAGAATTCCAAGCTCATGGAGAGCAGGAACTTTCATTTTTGTTTTTGAACCCCCAGCATCATCTAGCATAGTAACCAGGCACATGACGGATACTTAAAAAGTGTCTGATGGATCAAAACTGATGCCCAGAGAAAGAGTCACACATCAGAGCCATAACTCAAACCTGTTCTCTGGACCCCAAACTTAGCGTGCTAACATTGATGAAATTGTACGTGAGGATGTCCTGAGGAGAAACTCGGGGCTTCAGACTTAGCACCAGGGAAGGATGGGAGAGGGAGATGAAGATAATCTCTTCTGGAGTAGTTTCCTGCCAGTGATTGACTCAAGCAAGAATAACTTCCTAACTCACAATGACCCTATGAAATAGGGTGATTAAAAAAAAAAGCACTGCACTTGGAATTGGGAGAAACCTAGCCATTCCAAGCTGTGTGACTCACCTGGACCCTCATCTGTCTGAGCCTCAGTCTCCTCATATGAAAAAAGGGTGACAATAAAAGAGATACTCCCAACCTCCTGGAGCTTGGTGGGGAGCAGAGGACTCTGAATATTAAAGTGCCACCAAAATGAGAATAATTATTATCCCCATTTTGCAGATTAGAATATCGAGGCAGGGCTAACTCCTCTGAGATGCAATGACAGTGTAGGCTCCTTGCTGTTCCATGAACAAGACTGCATTTCCCAGTGGGGCATTTTCACTGGCTGTCCACTGCCTGGCACACTCTTCCTCCTCTTCTCTGCCTCCTGGCTTCTTTGGCTTCTTTCAAAATCCCACCTTCTACCAATTGCCTCATTAAAAAAAAATAAATAAATCCTGATGGGGTGAGCTCAAGCAAAGATCTCCCCCCCACCTTGACCCAAAGGGAATCTGGCTCCCACTTGTCTACAGACCCCAGCTCCTTATCTCCCTTTGGAAGCCTTAGCCTACACCTTTTGACCTTACTCAGATGCCTTCCAGCTCCCTCCATTACAGGCCCCATAAAACACTTAAACTATTCCCCTTATCTCCCTTTGACCAATGCCTTCCTGTTCCCTCCATTAGCTATTCCCATTGTTTATTCAATCTCTCAGACCTCCCCAATTAGAATTCTTACCTAGACCCTTTTCCCAGCCCCCTTCTCTGGCCACCCAAAGTTACTTTAGTATTTAAGATCCACCCTGGCCCCCATTCAGATGCTGAGAATCTCAGGCCCACAAGGCTGAGAACATCTCCTGTGCTTGTCCTCACTGGCCGTCACCTGGCCTAAGTATTTTATCCATAATAAACTTTTCCTCTGGCTGGAAGAAGATTTGAGTTGAATTCATTCTGGCAGGGCCCAGTACCGTGATCTTGGGGTTCTAGCAGCACCCCAAAAGTCCCAGACCTCTTCATATCCCACCTTCTACAAGAAGCCTTTCTCATCTCCCTTAATTCTAGGGCCTTCTCTCAGTTGATTATTTCCAATTTATCTTATTTACTACATAACTTGTTGGTATGTAGTTTGTGTGTCTACCACGTTTACCACGGTGCCTGGTACCATGGCACATGTCAGTTGTATCCAACTCTTCATAACCCCATTTGAGGTTTTCTTGGCAGAAATACTGGAGTGATTTGCCATTTCCTTCTCCAGCTCATTTTACAGGAGAGCAAACAAGGTTAAGTGACTTGCCCGGGGTTGGTCACACAGTTAGTAAGTGTCTGAGGCCAGATTTGAACTCAGGAAGGTGAGCCTTCCTGGCTCCAGACCCAGCTGTCTATCCACTGTGCCATCTAGCCACCCTGCCTGGCACATAGGTGGTTTATAAATGTTTGATGACTGACTCAGCCAGCTGATATTAACATTACAATAAGCTAGAAGACCTAGAAGTGTAATGCAGAACATTATTTTACCATTTAGGTAGTAGAACCCTTTAGGCCATGGAAAACTCCAAATTCCTTAGCAAGACCCTTATCTGGCTGCTCAGGCCACAGCCCTCAGATCATATCTCTGGAAGCCTCCATTGTAAGAAAGTTTGCAGAGCATTATCATATCTACACAGAGGGAGAAGGGTGTCCTTGACCAGCCAGACTTCAAAGATCCATCCCCCTCCCTGTCCTGTATACTCCCTATATAAACCCTGGCTCGACCCCTGATGAGGGCTGCTTGATTTGGATGTGAATATCCCTGGCAGCCTCGCGCTAATATAATAAAGTCCACAATTTAAAATTAGCCTGAGCGGTCAACTCGCTCATTTCTCGGTATAACATTTTGGAGGCCCCAGCGAGATAGCAGCGTACCGTGTCGCTGCAGAGACCCACCTGGAGAGGACATCGGCCTCGGGAGGGGGAATTGTTCTGTTCTGACTTCTAGGGGAGCCGGCCCCTGATGATGTTCCAGGGCCCCAGGACTCAGGACTAGGAGAAGCCTCCCTCCCCGACTCCGACTGTACCTCATTTCGGCCCTCGTGGACCTGGTAACCCTCTGGAGGTAAATGTTTGCAAACCTGTTTTCTGGTGGGGAACGAGTGCCAGACGTGGCAGAGCACCTAATTAGTGCCTCAATCCCCCAGGCACCCCGAGACGTCGGGACTATGCCTGTATCTGGTTCCTGGTACCCGGTTTCTGGTTCCTGGTTTCTGTCTTAGTTCTGTTGGGCCCGTGTCTCATTCCTGGTTTCTGTCTCAGTGTTGGTCTATTAGTTTATATG